CAGGTAATGCATGATTTAGGAAAGAAGTAATGATGGGATGCGAAGAGTATTATGAGGTATTTGAAGGGCACAACTTAGTGTTTGATAGACAGTCATCTATTGCAGACTTGTGTGTAGGTTACACTAACTCAAACTATGTGGGTGATATGGATAGGTGGAGATCATATACGACTGACAATTTATTCACATTGGCATAAGGTCTTGTTGATTGTTGCTTTGTCCACCGCAGAGACTGAGTACATGACAATCACGGAGGTGATGAAGGAAGCAATATGGATGTAAGGCCTAGTAGATGACTTGGGATTCTCTAACGATGTTCTCTAATATTTGTAGTGCAATATTCTTGGCCACAAATCCAGTTCATCTTACTTGTACCAAGTATATTGATGTGAGGTACCACTTTATTTGATATTTGATTGACGACGACAATGTTCTTTTGAATAAGATAAATACAAAAGATAATACAGAGGACATGCTCACGAATGTACTACCTTCGGGAGGACTACATTGACAACTATGTTGGTACAACATAATTGGAGTTTGGAGCTCATTTGATCATCTCTCACTTATTTAGAAATAAGAAGAGGGGTGAAGATTGTTGTATTTATGACTTTTATTGTAATTTGGGGTAATTTAGTTTTTAGAGTTTATTTGCTTGTATGTCCTAATTCTCCTCTATAAAGGAAAATTATTACAAGCGGATTTTCGCATGCGCTTCTACGGAGTAGATGAGCCAAATAAAAAATAATAATGATAACAACTCCCATGTAATCCAAGCCATTAAACATAGGTACGTTAACCATGCCTAATATTTGCTTCTCTATAAAGGTGACTTAGGGGTCATAAGAGCTGTGGTGAGAAGTGCAGAAGTTATAACCTCAACTATTTTCTCTTTCTTTTCATTTGTTGCCAGTAAAATTTCTCTTTCCATAAACGTAGACTAATCCATGAACGTAGGCGAATTAACTCGATACTATCATTTGTGTTCTATTATTGCTATGTAGATTTCATTGTTTGCTCATTATTTTCACATAACAAGAGTCTGGTGAATTTGTAAATAGCAAGTTCCGGCAGCCTGTAAATATTATAATGGAAACGAATTTGAAAGCAATTAATGATACCAAGAACTTTACAAAACAGAGCTCACTGCAACTAGTAAATTGTCAGAACATGTTTTCAGAGATTGAGAACAAGAAATTCACAAAAATATTGAAGAAGAAGACTCCTCTAACGAACAAAGATCTGAAATAACTGCAAGATAATAAAATCCTCGCAACATAATGAAGCATTGAGAAGACAATCACGAAGAGAGAGAAAGAGAGTCATATCAGTTTTTGGCTGATAGATAAATAAAAAGCAAGTGATATGTGTTATGGTCCTCTTTCATGGTTGAAACAACACTTCCCATTCCCTGGTCGGCCATTTAATTACACCAGTCCAACCCCCTTCCTCTCTCTCTCTCTCACTCTCTCTCTATCTCCTCTCTCTCTCTGTCCTCTCTCTTCATCTTTATTAAATGTTATTGACAATAATCTTCACAATCTCCTTCCTCTTTTGCCAAAGTCCTCATTTGATCACCCACCCCATTTAATTCCCTCTCTCTCTCTCTCCCACTCTCTCTCTATCTCTATCTTTTAGCTTTTGTACAGGTTTAGTTCCTTCTCCTTTATATATAACCATACATTCCTCCTTAAAAATTTCATCTTTTTTCTCTCTCCCACTCTATTTTCTCATGAGGATTTGTGTTACAGTAATCTCTCTCCTCCTGCTCCTCCTCCTTCAGCATCCCCATTGCCATAGCTCAAGAGAATTAATGAAGTCGGAGACAGGGCAGCAGTTTTTGAACGTGAAGCCTTCTTCTTCTTCTTCTTCCTCTTCTTCGCCGACGTCGTCTGCCGCACACTTCTCCGCTTTCCTCCCAAAGTCCTTTCCCATTCCTCCTTCCTCTCCTTCTCGCCGCCACAACTCCTTCGGCTTGCTCCGCCGCCCGCGACCACGGTTGCTTACGTCCGGTTAATCAAACGTCCAGACGACGACGTTCATGCATGATGCGATCCACACCATCAATCATAACTTAAACTAATTATTTTATGATTATTTTCATAAATTTATGTCCATCCTACATAGAAATATATCAAAATAAGATTAGAAATTGACCATTGGGTGTATTTATTCCTTGTATAAGAACCTACAATTATTCTCCTCTCTCTCTCTCTCTAAGTGTGTACAGATTTGTAAATATTATATATTTGATGAGGTTTTGTGTGCAAGTCTTAATGTTTATACAATCAAAATATTTGATGCATATACGTGTATTTGCAGTATAATATTTGTATGAAAATGTGTATGATTAGTCTACTGTGGATTACTTGTGTTGGTTTTCTTGTTTGTGAGGTCAAGGATCAGTACTGTGAATTATGCTATCTATAATTGATTGAATGAATAGTGACCGTTGGATTTGACTAGACATGAGGATCGGCTCTAACATGCTATTAAATACAATAATAATCATAACAATTTATTATTATTATTTAATAAATTTGTGTTTCAATCATACCTTTCATATATATATATATATATATATATATATATAGTGCAAATAGTAGTTATTTCATGTGATAAATTGTGATAAATGAAGGATAAATTACTTTGCCATGTGATACAACCTTGGAATGCAAGAACTTGCAATTACATACAGAAGACCCAAATCCTGCTATTTACAAATCAATCAAGCTCTTTCATCCATTTTTCAAATTTTCACTCAAATATCAAAATTTATGATAAAACACCAATCATTGTTTTCAATTTTTATCAAATTCTCAATAGTTTGATCGTGACAAGCATAAACACATCGGGTTGATAGTTCAAAAAAATCACATGATGGGTTAGTTTGTAAATATTAATGTTTCGGCTGATCTATACATAATTATCCCTTAATACATTATGATCAATTTAAATTAACAAGCATTTCAGTAAAAAATAAGAACTACATTTAGATATGTAAATATATAAGAACTTTCGAGTGGTTTGGCATGTGAGTAGGGTTTGGGGGCTCATATCATAGTCTTCGGACATTCTTTTTTAATTATATATATATATATATA